ATTGTAAAATGTCCTTTGATAAGATTGCGTAGGAAATTAATTTATTATTTGCAATATAGTTTTTGGAAGTTTCAAAGGATGACGTTTTGAGATTAGAACATGAATTCATGACATATAAAAGTGAAGTCAATAGGGATACCTAGTCGAAACAAATTTTAGACATGATATCGACAAAAATATATTATTTATTAGATTCGCTGGAAATAATCCAGCCAAGGTCAAAGGATAATTTTCATAGAACGGGTTGAATAATTCAATTCTACATCATTCTCGTGACTTTCAAGTACCAACTACTTATTACCAAGGCGCGTTTTTCAATTTTAGATAATTGAACTAGATAATCACATTCGTTTTATTATTTATCTTTGCATAAGGATAATGGATCACATCATTTATTTATAAAACTACGTTAAAAATTGCTCAATTTGTATGAATACTTGTGTTTGCACCAATAAAAAAGTATTAGGAAGATAATTGTTGTGTCTACAATACTACAACAACTATTGTACAGGAATTTAAATACAAGACTTCCTTAAATTCAAGACTTCCTGGCAACACTCTAGGTCAAAGCACTGGCATCTAATCGATTGTATAATAATTGTACGTTCTCGTCGTTCTCGACACCGAAATGACGTATGCATTACCAAGTGCGGATGACTGTTAGACTGACCATCGGTTGATACGAGCCAGAATGAACTTGCGCATCCCACCAAAGCGTAGATCAGGAAAAACTTCTTAGCATCTCTAAGCCAGAAACTACCGTTAGAATACCCGAAAAGCTTGAGGACTCCTGGAAAATTCTGAAGACCGCAATAACAACTGCGTCGGTAAAAACGGTCGGCTATATACAAAAGACATGCATGGAAAAGCGACCCCAGCTCGACTGCGAAAAAGGCAATACCAGGAAGCAGAAGCAGAAGTTCAAAGGCAAACGCGAGCATTGAAGAACTAATGGTGGATAACAAAATCAAAGGAAATGCAGCATCTAGCTGAATCCAACAGCACCAGTCCTGGTATTCTCGTAGTCAAAAACGCCGCTACTAAGATGGTATACAGACCAACCACTACTCAAGGATTCAATCTCTGACGATCCAAAGATGGCACAAGACTACTTTAAGACAGTTTCTCCAATTGTTCTCGTTGGAAGGAACACTTTCAGGAAATTCTCAACAGAGAATCACGAATTAGTGATGACATCTTGAACAAAATTCCACAGAAACCAGTACAAAAAGAACTGAGCGAGGTTCTTAGAATAGACGAGGTCGAAAAGCCAATCAGACAACTGAAGAACAATAAGTCAACTGGCACTGACGACATTCCTACTGAATTATTTAAGCAAAGAGGCACCACACTAAGTGCCAAAACCCACATCCTAATAAGTAAAAAATATGGATTACTGAGACCATATCTGCCAAACTTAGAGAAGCCTCCATAGTCGTTGCCATTTTCAAAAGGGAGACAAGGCTCAATCTAGAATCTACAGAGGAATATCTTCACTTTCTGTTGCGGGAAAGATGCTTGCCAGAATATTATCAAATCGTCTAATCTCAACTGCCAAAGAGAACCTCCCAGGTTCACAGTGTGGCTTTAGTTAGACCCAACCAAGGTACAGCTGACATGATTTTTAGTGCAAGATAAATGCAAGAATAATCCAGAGAACAAAATCGCCCTCTATGCATGACCTTCATAAATTTAGTGAGGTTTTGATTCGGTCAACAGAGAAGCTCTTTGGAAGATATTGGCAAAGGTTGGATGTCCACAAAAGTACATCTAGATACTCCGTCTGCTGCATGATAATATGAATGCAACCGTCCTAAGCATCAATGGACAAGGAGAATTCTTTTCAAATAACTACAGGCGTTCACCAGGGCTGTGTTATTGCACCCACTCTATTTTATCCATTTATAGGATCCATACTTCACCTTGTCGAGGGTTTCCTGCCGTCAGGAGTAGAAATTCTGTACAGACAGGCTTATTCAACCTAAACCGATTATGAGCCAAGACGAAAGTGTCGACGACAGCGATAACTGAACTCTAATATGCGGATGATAACGTCGTGATATAGAGGAAGATCTTCAAGCAATTATCATACAGGAGAATAGGCCATGAGGTCAACTTTAACAACACTCGGATTCTGCACCAGGCATTAAACCAAGAGCCACAAATATAAAATATACCTATAAATGATCATTCCTTGCAGAACGTAAAACACTACCCATACCTTGAGAGCCATCTAGCAGCAAATGAAACCATTGACGCTGAAATCCAACATCGCTTGAGGTGTGCTAGCGCACCATTCGGGCGACTTCTAGGGACACCAACAACTGGGAGCCGACGGCAAATGATAGACCCTCATTGCGTCGACTAGTCCACGACGGACCACAAGCTTTTGAAGTAGAGCGACGCAGACACGAGACCGAAAAAAGGGACAATAGGAAGGAGCATAAGTAGTGATGCCGCGAGACTCGAGACTGGTCTCGTCTCGTCTCGTCTCGACTCGAATTTTCGAGACGAGACTGGCTTTTGGTCTCGTCTCGTGAAGTCTCGACGAGACGAGACCAGACTCGGCGAGAGTCTCGCGTAGTCTCGAGTATCGAGATCACAAATAATTTTTTTCTTCCATAGCTTTATTATTGGACTAGTCTAGGCTATTTGAATATGAAATCAGTTAGTTTTAATACTAACAATTAATGGGATGATTTCTACATACCTACCTAATTTTCAGATTCCACTATCGGTTTAGCCAGTGGTGAGATCAATTTAAAAAAAAAGTTTAATACATAAGCACTTTCGGCTAAACTGGAAGTTAGATCTGAAGATAAAGTATGTAGCATCCCATTAATTCATAAAAAAATTACAGGGTGATTCTTTTTTCAAAAACTGTTTTGTCCGAGATTTTTTTTTAATTTGACGTTCATATTTTTTCAAATATCACGGTTACTCTTTACTGTGATTTTTCACTTTTTAAATAACTGCTTTTTCATTGTGGCACTATGAACTTCCGTTAAAATTAAAAAAAAAAAAACATCAATACAGGGGGTGTCCGAAAAATAGCGGAATAGCTCTCCACGTAGTAGGGGACTCTTTGAGAAACCCTAGAAAAATAATTTAAAAAATCCTTCTCCAGCATTGTTCTTGATAATATGAAGAGGTAAATGTGAAAATTCACCTTCGAATTCTACAGATAATTACGTAGGTATTTAATTTAATTCTCTGACATATTGTCAACGGGATATTTTCAGTGTTGCAAATTTTAGTAAATATTAAGATGCAAATAACTTTCTCAAGAATGCCACTAGATTTTTTGAACTATTTTTCTGGGGTTCCTTGAAGGGTCCTCCACCACGTAGTGAAGATTTTTTACGCTATTTTCCGTACACCCTGTATAACTCGAGACCAGACGAGACCACTCGAGACGAGACGAGACTTTGGTACTCGAGACCGAGACTAAGTCACGGTCTCGTCTCGACATGTCGAGACGAGACGAGACCAACCTCAAGTCTCGTCCAGTCTCGTCTCGCGGCACCACTAAGCATAAGAGAACAGAGGCAGAGACAATGCTATGCCAGAGGCTGGGTGTGCCAAGACTGTGATAGAGTGTGCGGCTTCAGAATTGGTTCATATAGCCATCACATCAGAAAACGCACAATCGACGACATTAAGAATATAATATGAGGTAATCATACTCGGTATCGAGTGATCGCCTATGATGAATTAATAGGTTTATCATTATATAAGCTGTTAAACTTCGGCGAAATAAACTCGTCGAGTGTTTCATTTTTGCCCAATTATGAGGCGATTTTTTTCCCCCAAATTAGTCGAGTCATATTCGGCAATGTAGCCAGCACGTCACCTTGAATGCCATTTCTATCTTTAGATCTTACGATGTTATCCGCATATTTCAATTTGTTCAGGTATTCCCCCTGGATGCGCGTTTAGCTTATTAATTAATTTTTTTTTTTGTTTTTAACGTACTCGTGTGTGATGTTCCAGTGTTCCGCAGTGTCAACTGTCAAACGCCTTCTTAAAATCCACACAGGAAAATTATGTTCGTTTGTCTTTTCTATCATTATTTTTACTCAGTGAAAGTGTTCTATGGTGCAAACATTTTCTAATCGATTAGTTATTATTCTGATGAACAGGTCATAGATCTGTGAGAGTCTTTCGGTCTATAATTTTCTAGATAGATTCGTTGCATGTAACACATACTATATTGATACCTATTTATTCTATTTTAATATTTACCAACATATTTTTCTGTTTAATGTTTCGAACTCATTTCAAAAACAAAAGAGTGAAGCTACACTTAAAAGCAGGGTTAAAACGCACAGGTATATGAAAGACTATAAAGAATAATAGGGCAATATTGTTCCAAATCCTAAATAGAATATTTAATTTTCTTTTTAATTAGGTAATCCAAATCCAAATCCAAAAAATATGTTTCAGTCCCTATTTTTTATTATTTTTTTTTTTTTTTTAATTCTTATTGAACATAATTAAATGGATTTTTTCCCAAAAATTTAATAAAAATATCATCAATAACCTACATTATAAAGCGATCGCATTGATTCTAAAAATATCCTTCTGCGAATCATTCAATTTCACATCATTATTGAGCGCTTTTATTCCTTATTGTTTTTTGTTACAAATGCATTTGTAAAAGCAAAGCATGGATATGTGATAATTTCAATTAGAATCGAAGTTTCACAGATATTTTACAGATTAGATATAAAATCTGTAATCTGTACCTACCTATGTATGTATCTGTACAATCATAATACATATTATAAAAATCAATTACTCAGGTGAAAATTGTTCAGTTTAAATTTTCCTTTGCAGATAGAAATAAACAGGAGACCGTTTTACCATAATTGGTACTTAATTGAATTTATATTATTCCCGAATCTTCAAAAGCAATTTCAATCTCTGTAGGTATAACATTATTTTCTGTTCTAACTGTAACTTAACTAAAATATGATAGATGCAATTAATGTAAGTACCTTTGAACAACGATAGGGATACAATCCTCCATCGTTATTTTGAGCTATCGATCCCAATATCGAGGTCATATTTATAACTGCAGCCTTTTTGCTACCAAGTGCACCATCAGCATTATTTGCAGCCGCTGTTTTTAAAACAGGAAGCAACGCCTTAAAAGAAAATTTAATTTCGTTTATTTTCAATCAAAAGTTTAATGTGTAGGAGCTATTTTTTAATCCAATATACATGCCTTTGTCAACATAATAGGTCCTATAGTATTAATGGCAAACGTTTCGGCCAATTGTTCGGCTTTAACAAAATTGATTCTTGTGGACTTTGGAGAGTAGCCAGCGTTGTTAAATAAAACGTTTAAGCCGTCCTCTCCGACAATACATTTTACATCATTAGCAAACTGATCAAATGTCCCTGTGTTTTTTACATCTGAAAAAAGAATATACCTACTAAAATTTTATTCGACTTATTTGCTCAATTTTAAAAATCTTTTACATTTCAGTTCTTATTCTGTAAAAGATTTTTAGTTTTTTAACTATAGTACTTACCTAATGGTAAAATATGGATATTTTTGTGTTTCTCAGCTACTTCTCGCAATTCCTGAAAGATACAACAAACAATTCAATTGAAAAAAAAACTTAACAGAATTATTATGATGCAGCAGACGTAAGGAGTTTTATTTATATCTATCTATACAGTGCCCGCGAAAAAGTACCAAAAAGCTCTAGAAGACGACTCCTAATGGACTACGATGATGGTGCAGGACACTTGGCAGTTGAAAAAACTCTTCACGTTATTCAAAATCGTTATCAGTACTACGAGTATGCGAAGATACTTCAAGAATTACATATTAGTCTTTTTTGGGGTGTTTGTACAATAAGAAACCTTCTGGAAACATAGCCAGATGTTTACACAGCATTGAAAAGAAAAAAGAACCTATGGATACTCTGCACATTGACCATTTAGCACCTTTTGCCAAAAGTGTTAAGAACCAGTGACGCTTTAACCTTTCTCTGGCCCGTAGGTCATTTATTTGGTATGGCCTTTCATGAGTGTTTTTTTTTATGGGGTTAAATAAAATCATTCAGACGATTTCAAACTACTAACCTGGCAGAATATGAAGACAAAAAATGTTGCCAAGTAGTATTCGGTGAAATCAAAGAAAGGTACTACAAAATGATGGAAAAAGAATGGTCACAAAACTTGCTGTCTGGTAGGAACATCCTAAAAGAAAATGATGGGATTGAGCTCCCAGCCTACCAATCACCACATATGGATTCTAGGGACTAAGTGTACTGATGGGTGCTACGGAAGAACAGCTGCATGGCTTGGGATCAAATCCATTAGCGAGGAAAATATGCATTAAGGATTGCAACTCTGAGAAAAATTCGTATCACGTTGCCTGTGCATGTCCTACAAGCTCAACAACAACAAGGCACGACTTCGTGGTATACTGGACCCTCAAGACACTGCTCAAGTCCCTGGATGCTCGAGAAGATGCTCAAAGAAACTTACAATTTGGCAAAGCAGCGCAAACACTAATAGGTTCCTGCTGTAGTCGTTGCCAGTTGCTACGTGCCCGTGCTGCGCTAATGACGCGACGGCGATTCAGCGCAGCTCGGTGACTTCCGGATTGATGCTCGATGGAGCGAGCGGAGCGATTCCAGAGCATCGTGACGTCAGGCAGTGCACTCTGGCCAAAACAAATGTGCTTGAGCAGTGTGAATTATGAGAATTAAAGAGTATTGAAATATATGCTAGTCCTGCTACTAAACAAGTCGATGTTTTTAATATAGTGGGCTTTTATATCATAAATTAAAGGCCAGCAGTTGGCCTTCATCCTCTAGTGGCCCGTAGGACATGACCTAATTGTCCTAACGGATAAAGTGTCCCTGTTAAGAACTCTTATGTCATCGCAGCTGTGTACGTGTTCACCAAGTTCCCCATGAAAAAAGCAGTTCCAAATATAAAAACTTCTTTCGTCGTACGATTCCTAAATGAAATTATAGGAATATTTGGGATGCCTAGGCGTATCATTTGTGATTGTGGAAACGCATTTACCAGCAAGGATTTTGGGAATAAAAAGAGTATTATGCGCCACTGCAACTCCACGGGCCAATGGGCAAGCGGTAAGAATGAACAGAGTTATTCTTGCCGCCATGAATACTTTTGTGGAAGATGATGATCGCTGAGATGAGAGTATCAGTCGAGTGAAATGTGGATTCAACACCACTGTTCACTCCACAACCGGGAAAAGTCCCTACGAGTTTCTTTTAGGTTATAGACCTAGAGGAATAAATGACTCCTTCTTACGCCTTTTTTGGCAGTGTTTTGGAGGTCTTCAATTGTATTTTAGAGTGTTCATTTGTATTTGAGAAATCCCCATATGAATAATGGCAAAAATTTCTCAAGTGAGGATAACTGTTCTGGAGTGCGATTGCGGGTTTCTGGAGTACTGTTGGGGATGGTGTAGTTAGAAGGAAGGAAGTGCGAGCTAAAGTAGCTGAAAATATAGAGCAGCAACAGGAAGTACAAAAGTTGTACTATGATGCAAGGCATGCTAAGCCTAAAAAGTATGAGGCTTGGTATAAGGTTGGACAGAAAGTTCTTGTCCAGCGAGCAAAGTGCTCAAATCATGGTAAAAGTAGAAGGCTCGAGCTCTTCGTGATTAAAAGGGTGTTAGATAACGATCCTTACGTGATTGAGGACATACTGGGCGCGAAAAGGTCTCGAAAAATTTACTCTGTCACATGTCCCTCAGATACTATGAAACTGTTTAATACGGTTGTCTCTTCATCTGACTCATCGGCGGATTCCGAGGAGATTTGATGATAGTTCGGGAGGCGCTTGCGAGATGTCAGAAAAGACATAAAATGACAAAAAGTTTGTAAACGTTTGATTTTCCATTGCGACGTGCGATGGATGAGACTAGTGAAAACCCACTCGGGAGCCAAAGTTGTTTCGACAATAGAGAAAAATTTCTAGAAATGTCTAAAGGCAGTGCGTTTCAGTAAGACGTTGCTGAAACGACGAGCGAAAAGTCGCTCGAAGGCAAAACGTGTCAAGAAAAGTCTACCAAAGACGTTGGTATATCACTAAGGAAAAAGTCCTTTGATAAAGCCTTTGATCCCTTGGGAGATTTGACAACTGGTGATAAACTATCGCGCAGTCAATGTAAAAGTCATTCAATTGGATTGCCGATGCCAATCTCAAAAAGGATCTCAGGCTGAAGTTAATCAGAAAACGCACAGCGAAGAATAAAGCCTAGTTCTCATGGAGCAGAAAATCGTGTTGCGGGTGCGGAATATCGCTTTCCGTTCAAGACATAACTTTTGCCGGTTCACATGAAGCGAGATTCCGCAAGCGGATTTTTAGTTACATTCAGGGTATTTCACATTATATTTTAGTGATTTTTATCAAATGTCGTACCATACATCCCACAGGTGACACTATAAGTGACAGTAAAAAGTGACGGAGGATAAAAAGTCGCGCAAAAGTTAAAAACAATTTAACTTTTTTGCGATATCGCAAAAAGTTGACACTTCCCCGCTGCGAGACAAATTTTAAAAATTCCGCATCCGCCACGCGATTTTCTGCTGCATGAGAACTAGGCTTTAGTCTCGCTGGGTAATTTTAAATGAGTAGATTCACTAATTTTGTGCTGATTCAGAGGTCGAAGATTTTACGAAGAAATCGAAGAGAGTCTCCAGGCGAGATTTTGGTAGCATTGGCCGACTGTAAGCGATCTTTGTTTCCTTCCCGAGGACGTGAAGATGTCAGGTTATGCCGACTGTAATAGAATATTTACTTGCACCTACCTAAGAAAAAATGCCGGATGACGGAGCGAATAGGGTTGGGTGGTGTTAACAGCAAAAAAGGATGAGTCAGTCCTGATGTTCTGCTGGTGGTGATCAGTCGATTTAGAAATGGCGTTATTATTTTTCTTTGTGGCAAATATAAGTAATTAAAATAAAATCAAGTCTTATCATGAATATTTGTGCGCCTATATAACGAAAGTAACTTTACACAATAGCAGATTGTCCATTTTAAATAATTATTCGCAAGGCTGGACTGCCTATGTTTGGCATATGGAGTTCATAGGCAGGTGATTGTTCGGGAGTGCTGACAATAACTTGTTTCAGATCTGTTATAAGTTTCACTATGGAACAAAAAATCACTCCAAAACATAACAACACTAAACAAGATCGTTTAAAATTTTTTTACTCAAAAAAACGCAATTTTAAGATTTTTTTTAAGGAATATTAGATGATGAAGGCTACCTGTGAAAAAATTTTTAGAGGCAATGTCAAGCAATTTATTATCTAATTTTCTAATTATTTCCAAGAGACTCAATGTGACAATGTTTGTTGAAATATCAACCTGAAAACCATAGATTTCAGTGCACACAAGATCTGAAAACGAAGCGCAATTTAAAGTAATGTGCCACTTTACCCCCTTATCATTCAAGACTCTGGGTGACAACTACCCCTTTTAGGGGGTTAAAACCCATTTAAAATTTTCCTTTTGACATTTTAACAAAAAAATTATTTTTTGAGTCGAATAGTGTGTCAGTTTTTAAAATTCTCAAGTTTATTAATAAACTAGGGTTTTTAATCAATACCTTGAGAAAGAATGAACCGATTTCAATTTTTCTCAACCATTATTAAGAGCATTAAAAACCTTTTCAAAAGAGATGTTACTTTACCTAATCCCATTTAAGATTTTGGAGTGACAAGGCGTGGAGCCGAGGAGATTCACCCCATGATCATGAGAATTAAAAAAAAAAAAATGCAAAATCAATTAACGTGTTTTTACGTTTTTCGTAAAAATTTGGTCTCAGACATATTGAGGGTGGGAAGTTTTTATAGATACTTACCTAGATTTACCTATTGAAAACATTATAAATAATATTATTATTATCGAAATATATCTAACGCACTCAACTCCAGCCATAAAAATATCAATCCATATTTGAAAAACAATGAAGCGAGAAAAATATGAAAACTTTACGCTGCGTTCCCCTACAAAAATGGGTTCACAGAATTTTATTTTATGTAGTAGGTACCTGGCTCGATATGTACCTACTCTGTTCAACCTTCAAGAGAAAAGTTGTTATTTTTCTACACAGTTTCTAATCAGTAATAATCAACGGTGTCGT